GTTATACAGCGCAAAGCGGCATGAACGAGCAACAGAGGCAACATGATCTTTAAAGGTCAGGTGTTCATCAATCACAACACCCAGATTTCGAACTGCCTTTGAAGGAGCCAGAGATAGGAAGTCATTTTGGATTGAGATATTGTGCTGTATGGATGGTTTTGCTGGGATGAAAAGTAGTTCAGTTTTAGAGAGGTTGAGTTGGAGATGGTGGGATTTCATCCATTATGATATGTCAGAGAGACAGTCTGATATTCGTGCAGAGACAGTGTGGTCGTCCCGTGGAAATGACAGATAGAGCTGGGTGTCGTCTGCATAGCAGTGGTAGGAGAAGCCATGTGATCGAATGATCTCACCCAGTGAGGTGGTGTTTATGGCAAAGATAAGAGGTCCTAGTACAGCACCCTGGGGGACTCCTGTGGCAAGATGGTGCATGGTAGAGGATTGTCCAAGCCAAGATACACTGAATGATCGTCCTGTGAGGTATGATTCATACCAGGCATGTGCTTTCTCTGTGATGCCCATGCTAGAGAGTGTGGACAAAAGGAAGCCATGGTTGACAGTGTCAAATGCAGCCGATAAGTCGAGCAGGATAAGCACTGAGGATTTGCCGTCGCTCTAGCTTCTTTTAAGGATTCCGTCACTGCTAACAGAGCAGTTTCAGTGGAGTGGCCCTTTTTGAACCCAGATTGGTAAGGGTCAAGCAGACAGTTCTGTGAGAGGTACTCTGTGATCTGCTTGAAAGCCGCCCTTTCAATGATTTTGGACAGAAAAGGGAGGAGAGAGATAGGTCGGTAGTTCTCCATGTGATTTGGAGGAAGAGATGTTTATTTTAGCAGCGGTTTAGACTTGTTGTAGACTAGCAGCAGTCTTTAAGTTCTCATCTTGTCATGGTTCTGTGTTCTGCTCATCTTGTTTTGCTCCTCTGAGATTGTTGCAGGTGGGCGTGTCAGAGAGTCTCAGCGGCGGCTGATTTCCCATCAGCATGGCCAGGGGATTTAAGGAGCGGTGTAGCCACACTTCAGCGCCGGTTGATACTCTCACGCTGGGTAACCTCTAGCCTCATCCTGCCCAGTAAGATTAGTTCTGAGCCTGTGTAATTTTGACGTGTGCTTATTCAGCCTTCCTGTTGGCCACAGTATCTGCCCTGGATCCTCGTCTCTGTTTTCGCCTGCCTGAATTGTGTTTTACCTCAACGTCTCTTATCTCCCCTGGCCGTCCGCTCTCCACCGTCCACCTGCCCTGGATCATCCTCAACCACCAGTTACCCGTCTTCACCTGATCCCTCTCTGCACAGACCTGACTTGTCTCCCCCTTCAGCCCATTATCAGCCCAGCACCATAAGATCATTCCATTTTCATCATCTAGTTTAGTTTCTTGGTTCTCAGTTTCCTGCTCTCACCCCATTTACTCTGTTTTTAGACCCCGGAGTTTCACCCTGTCTCGTCTGGAACAGCGCCCTTAGTTTCCCTTTTAGTTTCTTTTATAAAAAAAACATATTTTTGTACTTTCTTACCTGTTTTTCCGTGAGTGATTCTTTCATGTGGGCCAAGAAGCTTCCACCCACCATGACACATCTAACCCGTTCTATAGCTTCACACCTCTTCTGGTAATGCAGTGAGTTTTGAGGATTGTGCAGGCGCATACCACCTTAAAATTAAGTGTTCTCCGCAAATCAGATCCACCTTCTCTATCACAAAACAGCTGTTGAATATTACTTGGTAGCTGATTCTGTCATGCTTTGTACAAAATTAACAGTGATTTTAAGTTAACTAAATCTTTAAGTTATAAATTTTTTGACTTTATAAAAAGTGTATTAGTATGGTCTTTGAAACCAATATTATGTACAATCGTAATGGCTTTTTTTGGTAGTCTAAATACTGCCTCCAAGTGGCTACTGTAGGTATTTTCCCAGATCTCAGCACAGTAATTTATATAGGGAAGAGGGAGTAGTACAAGGTCAAGGTTAGTAGAGCTTTGAGGTCCAGAAGGTAAGAAAAGAACAGGGTTTAATAGGTATTGGCAACTTGATCAGCTCTACTGAAGCAATCCCACAGTGTAGTTTAATATACTCTCTCAGAAAGAAATAATTTGATAGAAAATATACTTTATTCATTTGTAGCTCAAACTTCAGAAGTAGCATTGAGCAGCTAATGAGAAGACAGAGAAATGGATGCTGATAAGCAAACACAACCAGAGTAGAGTTCTTCCATCCCTTCTTTTTGTGAAGAAGAGGTGGTTGTGTGTAGTAGTGGAACACCACAGGGTACGGTGCTCTCGCTTTTTCTTTTCATCTTCTACACCTTGGACTTCACCTACAACACCAGCAGCTGTCACCTCCAGATGTTCTCTGATGACTCCGCCGGCTGTGTGTCTGGGGGGACCGACCTGGGATGAAGGTCCATCATCGTGGACTTTGTGGACTGGTGTGAGCGAAACCACCTTCGCTTGAACACCAGTAAGACAAAGGAAATAGTGAATGACCTCCAGTGAAACACTCCTCACTCACCAGTAAACATCCAGGGAGCAGACGTCAACAGTGAACTGAACTGGTCCAATAACATGGATACTCTGTATAAGAAGGGCCAAAGAAGCCTCCACATCCTGAGGAGGCTGAGGTCCATCTGAGTTCATTCCCAACTGCTAAAATCCTTTTATCACTCTGTGGTTGGCTCTGTTATCCACTCTGCTGTGGTTTGCTGGGGTGCAGGCAGCTCTGACCGAGACAGGAAGAGACTGAACAAGCTATTCTAAATAGCTCAGTTATTGGCTGCCCACTAGACTCAGTGGAGTAGGTGTGTGAAAGGAAAATGGTGGTGAAGATGACCTCCATCTTGGAAAACTCCTCCCACCCACTGCATTCCACTGTGGAGACCATGGACAGCTCCTTCACAGGTAGACTGAGACATCCCAGATGTAAAACAGAATGCTACCATTGGTCATTAATTACCTCTGCAGTGAGTATTTAACTCCTCAGTTTAAGCTGTACTGTCAGCATCCTGTTACACTATAACACCAATGCAGTATTAAGTATGTGTTCAATATTTGTGCAGCACCAGATGAACATGAGTCTGTGTCCTTGATTCTGGATAGTTCTGTCATCACAAGTTTTCTTTTATTCGTTGTTCTAAGTGGTTGAAGGTTACGATAATAGCTTATTGCCTTTGTGTGTTTACCTGTAATCTTGTTATTATCTTCTTCCTTTTCAAGTGTACGTGCTGCTGTAGCAAGTGGATTTCCCCACTGTGAGATTAATAAAATCTATTCTTCTATTCGTTTTATCTTCTGCTTCTCTCACACAGATACACTCTGGGCTCCAGCTTCCCTCTGTCCCTCTCCACAGCCTCTCGCCTGTCTCATGTAGTAAAGTTTTTCTCAGCGTTTGACGCGACAGCGAGGCATTAGTGCAGATGGGCTGCTCATCCGTTTAGGGTCAGTGCACAGGGCAAGGAGGAGAGGAAGGAGAGGGTGGAAAAGAGGAGAGATGGACTCTCTACAGCCAACTTAGAGGGGGCAGAGAGGGCCAGATCCTTAGAGATGTGTGTCCGTGTGGGTGTGTATCTCTATGTGTGTTTTTGCGTGTGTGTGTGTGGTGTATTTGTGCATATATGCCAGTTGTATTGATGTATCTGTTCTCCGCAGCTTTGCTTTAGAGGTCAACAAACAAGCACAAGCCTCCTTCGTGCTCACTTGCAGCTACAGATGAACATGCATTTTCTGTCTCACACTGTCTGCCTATCTTACTCCTCCGCATCAAGCAGCCATCAGAGCAACACATGTCAAACCCAGAGGGATCAGGCGGTGTGCAGTGTCCCTTTGTATGTTTGCACTCTAGTACACTGGCTGAAGTTCAGAGTGATGGAAAAATACCCCACAGACTCAGAAAACAGCCCCCAAAAGAAGGACCGAGCATGTAAATGTTGCTCTACAGCATGTGTCCGGGGTATCAACACTAGAAGGAGACAATAACACTGCGTCAAACACGCAGACATCTGATCCCCTAGAGGGAGCTCTGTTCTGAAGGAAAAGACAGCCAAGGAAATGCATGCATATATTCAAAGGTGTGTGTGCGCATGTGAATATGAAAGTGTGTGTTGCATCCATAAGCAGAAATGGATTTTTTTCCCCTCTCTTTCTTTTTTCTCACACTCTGTCTCTTTCTCTCCTTTTCTGTGTGCAGGTAATATCTCTGTGGGCACAGACAGTAAAACGAACTAATTCCCAGATATCCCAAATTCCCTGATCAATGATTCTCCTCATTACAGACGGGAACGTCAAAGACTTGTCCAAGTGCTCCCTGGTCTATTCTTAATTAATCGCAGCTCCCCTAGTGCCCCTAAACAGAGGAAGATGGGTAAAAGAAGGCCACACCTGCTCTCCAAGCTCCTGTTTTATTTTTCACACACTGTTCACCACTCAGTATTCAAAGAACTTTTGGTCTTAGCTGAGATTAAAATATAGCTGAGTTCAAAGGTCTGAAAATAGTTAGAATGTGTATTTCTTTGGTAATTATATGAACAGTAACACAGCACAGCCTATGCCTGAAATGTGACTCAAGTGCACCAATTCTGGCGTCTCAGTAATGAGCATGAGACCTCTAAGCATTTGCCATAAGCAGCAAGATATTCCTGAGGAGTTTCAGAATGGTTTAGTCCTCTTTAAAAAGTGTAGTGAAGAAATCAACTAAACCAGATGAAGGTGTGTGATAATTGGGGGGGGGGGGGGGGGGGGGTGACAAAGAGGGGACCCGCGGACCGCCTATTGAGGACCACTGATTTAGAAGAAGAGTTATTTGTTAGCCTTCTTAACATGCTCAGCTGCAGAAATAGGATGCACCCTCCCTACCTCTTGACGTGTCTGCAGCGAAATCAGCTAATCGTTCAATTTTGGCCAAAATTGATCACCTGTACCAAACTCAAAGTACCCGTTTTAATTATAAACAAGAGAAAATATGTTGCTCAGAGGAAGTGTGGAGCTGTTGGTTGATGAGATCCCTCTTTTACCTGGAACTAGTGAGTAGGACTGTGGACCAGACACGTTTGCTCCTAACTCGGCCCCCGTGCTTGGATTGGCCAAACTGTTCTTCATCTCGTCCAGTCCACCTGCTAGAGAGGCCATGGCTGAGTAGTCTGATGTCTGAAAAGAAGCAGAAACAGGGATGAGAATAGATTAATTAAACTATAAGGTAATTGTTCATTGTGCTGGATTTAACATGAAGACACATTGAGCCTTTTAGCTGTGAGGGCAGCAGTAGCTCAACAGGTTGAGCGGGTTGTCCAGTAATCGGAAGGTTGCAGGTTCGATCCCGGCTCCGGACAGAGAATTCTGCTGTTGTGTCCTTGGGCAAGACACTTAACCCACCTTGCCTGCTGGTGGTGGTCGGAGGGACCGGTGGCGCCTGTGCTCGGCAGCCTCGCCTCTGTCAGTGCGCCCCAGGGCAGCTGTGGCTACATCGTAGCTCATCACCATCAGTGTGTGAATGTGTGTGTGAATGGGTGAATGATTCACTGTAGTGTAAAGCTCTTTGGAGTCCTTACTCTGAGAGGCGCTTTACAAGTGCGGGTCATTTATCATATCAATCTGTTTTCAGCACAATAAACCTTCTTCTGTAAAGGAGCTGTTCCTTCAAACCCACACGCACACACACACACACACACACACACGCGCGTGCACACTGACATACAGAAACACACGTACAGCAGAGAGTTTATTGATCTGTTTACAAAGGCAGGGATTTACTGTACAACCAAGTCCGACAGTCTATAACCACAGGATCAGCTTGCACTTTCTCTTCATCCCTTACATCCTCACACTCACACACTACGTTCACAACAAACATGTATTTACACACACACGCACACACACACGCACACGCACACGCACACACACACACTCACACACAGAGATTACACAGACCAGGGCGATCACAAAGCCTCTTGACTCCCTGGATACAGCTATAAGAACTGTGATCATCTCAGTACTGTAACGTGACGGAGGTGCCATTCCACCGAAGGTTATTTACCCTCTCCACACAGATGCCCCTGACACAGAACTAATCTGCTTGAGACTGCTTCCTTACCAGCTCAAGAGAAGAATGAAGACAAAGAACTCTATTTTTAATAAAGCTAATCAAACCAAGTGTTAGTCAATAATATAATGTTGACCAATCTGTGAGATGACAATGTTATGATTAATATGCTTTAATAAGTAATATGACTTTAATCTAGCTGCACTAGACATGCTGACTATAAACTCATGACACGTTGTTTACTCATCCAATCAGAACCTTCCTTTCTGAAGCGTGCCACAGTCTCTGTGGTGTTTATAAATCTGCCAACTTTGATTCGACCAGAAATCAAAACATCCAGATTAATAAAACCAGTCCCACGCCATCTTAAGTTCAGTTCTCTGAGTTCTCTACAGTTCACTGCAGTTCACCGCATGCTAAGAGAAGTATTGGACCGGCCATCCGGACTTCCTTTTTAAGCAAAGAACCAACAAGCTGGATGAAATCTGTTTTCCACCCAAGCAATGGTTCCTTTCAGAATAAAAGCTGAACTCACTGACCCAAGGGGGGTCCACCTGACGCTGTGAACCAACCGTCGCTTTTTACCTGGAGACGATCCAAAGACTAGTCTGTCGTACTGCTGACGCTGTTTCATCGGCTCCGGTACCGAAAGGGGGGTTCGAGGACCTGGCAGTCTGGATCTGTACGGAGGTCTCATCCTAAGGGTATGTGTGGAGCGACAATATGGCCTCTCATGTGTTTATGAAACTCCGATCATAACTCCGATCATAGCTAAAAGCAAAACATCATAACATCATTCAGACTTGCTTCTCCGGATACGAGAGTTCTGATGACAACATCGCTCACACATACACCATCCATCTCACGTCTCATTGACACCAGATCCATTCATCTCTTAGAGTTAGAGTTAGTCTTGTTTAAAATTCTTTAAAATTGTTTAGAAATAAATCTTCTTAAACATTTTAAAGGTGACTCTCTCTTCTCTTGTCTCTCAGTTAATACTAAGAGTTACATAATCCCCGCAATAAAAGTTCCAATGACCCGCACTTGTATAGCGCCTCTCAGAGTAAGGACTCCAAAGCGCTTTACAGTACAGTGTATCATTCATCCATTCACACACACATTCACACACTGATGGTGATGAGCTACGATGTAGCCACAGCTGCCCTGGGGCGCACTGACAGATGCGAGGCTGCCGAGCACAGGCGCCACCGGTCCCTCCAACTACCACCAGCAGGCAATTGGGTTAAGTGTCTTGCCCAATAACACAACAGCAGAATTCTCTGTCCGGAGCCGGGATCGAACCTGTAACCTTCCGTTTACTGGATAACCCGCTCAGCCTGTTGAGCTACTGCTGCCCAAGCTATGTGCTTGTGTAATCTTCTGGTTAAAATAACCCAACGGTCCGTCAGATTGATTTCATATTTACTATGCAATCTTACGTCTTACGGTTCCTTAATTAGATGTAAATTAACCCCATACAGTACGCACACACACACACACACACACACACACACTCTCTCACACTCACTCACACACACACACACACAAATGCTTTTAACAAACATCAGACATTCATCAAACACAAAAACTGAGGTGACATAGAAAATGTGTTCCAACTGTCCATGCTTTTCTCTGCAAATTACAAGAATTGTATTTAAATAATTTTCACTTTCATAATATTAAATTTTTAACCTTAGAAAGAGCAGATCTGTAAAATAAATAACCCAGACAAGCCTCTAATGTAGACAGCAACCTACAAAAATGGAGACCAGGATACCTTTTAAAATAAAAATAAAATAAAAATAAAAAAAGCATTCAAACTTCTAAAACAGAAATAATTGTCACTGTGGCTTGACAGTCCAACCACAAATAGGTAATCAATGTAACGACATAGGGGGCAAACAATCATCAGCCCAGGAGCTTGACCTCAGAATCAATTCTGTTCCTACAGTGAAATTTCAGAAGTGGTCACTGTGATGCAGACACCGACAGGTCAGAGTGCACTTATATGGATGGATGATGAAAACTATCTGCTCACCTGTGTTTGACCCTCACTCACAGCCACGGCCCATCCATCCTCATCTCTCCTTCAGGGCAGTGATTGTGTGTGACACCATATGTGTGAGCTTGTGTGGTAATTTAGAGTGATGATATTGACACTGATGACCAACTTTATATAGATTAACCACCAAGGAATCTCAAGGCTGAATGACAGCGCAATGACCTGCTTTTTAACTGCCTGAGTGTGTGTGTGTGTGTGTGTGTGTGCACGCGGGTGCACGTGCGTTTGTGTGCATGGATGTCTGTGTGAGACATTGTACTGGGAATTTGAAGCTTGAGGTTGAAAAGACCAAAAAGCCTGCTGCTTACTCTTAGATTGTCGTTTGACTTATTGACAACATTATCACTTAAAGCTGCAAGGACAAATTTGGAAACAAAAATAGCTCAAAACATTTTTCTTGCCTCTTAACAACATTCTAATATAGTATAGCTATAAATATGTTGTGGAGGTAAAAAAAACAAATAACTATTGAAGTGGTTCTCTCGCATTCGTCTAAAAACGTCCAACAATAATACATTTCAACCCAAAAGCAATTACTGGACCATCCAGTTGTTGGTCTGGCTGAACCGCTTCACCTCTGCACTTCCCCGGGTCCTCCATTCATTACACTCTTGTGTATTTAGCAGCAGAACACCACTGGTGTGAGGCTCTCTGCTCAGTAATGTCAGAGGAGAAACAGCCGGCGGCTTCCACTTTAAATTTAAGTGCAAACCACCAGAGTACCAAAAAGAAAAACACCATTTGAAGTCACAAACCACAGACGACGTTTGGACATAGAGAACGGGGACTGGTGTTTAGCGCTATGTCGTTTCATCTGGCATCGTGGGTTTCTGGTTCCAGCGAGGATACCCAAGGGGAGGGTTGAGTGGTCAGTGATGATGTCTGCGTTCAAAACCTAGCACGTTCTGTAGTCCTAAACATTTAAAATTCTAACACTTTTAAATGTTTTGGACTGACCAAACTAACTAAAATACTTTAGTTCCTTAGTGCAGAACTGGACTTAAAGCTGCTACAGCAAATCTACAGAATGTGCTAGGTTTATGTGTAAAATCTGCAGAAATAGTTGGGGTTTTTTCTGCTCATAAGATGCCTCTAAGCCATTCCTGATGTAACACATCTGCAGGTGTAAAGAAAAAATGTGTTTTTTTTGTTTTTCTTTACACCTGCAGATGTGTTACATCAGGAATGGCTTTGTGGCATCTTAAGTGTGTGTTTAGTAGTAAAAAAGGAAATCATCAGAGCAGAAAAAATTCCAAATCTTTCTGCAGACGTCATTTCCCTGAGCAGAGGTGAGTCACACCATCTCCTCTCACCAGAATCTGAGTTCATTCTCCGCAGGTGGGGAGCAGAGGGAACTACAGCTGCAGACGATTCCCTAATCAGGAACGCGGGTTTAAAAGGAGGACGGAGACACTTCATTTTGCCGGATGATTGTACCAGTTCAGGTAGCACCAGCCACGCGATTCTGAAACTTTGAAACTTGTTAACTCGTGTTTTGACTCGCCTTCGACTTTTGGATTATCGACCTTGGATTGTATTTTCGGATTTGGATTATCCCTTACACCTGTTTGTCTCGCTCAGGATCACCTCGTCATCTCTCACCCTCGCTGTCTTCACTTCTGGAATTATTCAACACGTCTCGTCCTCCTCCGCCATTCCTGCTCGGACTTCCCTCTGCTGCCTCACTCCTACGAAATCCCTCACCCTCTGCTCAGCGTCTTCCCCGGCTTCCCTTCCCCTCATCATTCAACCTGAACACCTCAGAGACCCGAGCCGTCTTGGCTCCTCAGCACAGGACTTCCCTGTTGCAGTTTTCAGTTCCCGTTTATAATAAAGACATTTTTACTTTACTACTTTGGACTTGTGTGATGATTCTGCATGTCTTGGGTTAGGCACTTACCTCGAGCCATGACAGCAGATTAAACTCTTATTTAGGAAGGATGGGCTGGGATCCTGTTCTTTTTGCAGACAAAAATACATTATGGGCTCTAGGCAAGATGTGGTTCACTCATTTAATCAATACATTTGCAGTGATCTCTAGTA